GCCGCCGGGCGATGCGCGGCGGCCGCGGCTGAGGCGGCGCCCGAGGCGGCAGCGAGGAGCCCGCGGCCGCGCGCAGGGAGGGAGCCGCCTGGGCAGCGCCGCCGAGGGCCGCCGCAGGTGAGGAGGGGCCGTTGGCGGCGGGTAGCGGCCGTTGGGGAGGGGGTAACGGCCGCTCGCGGGTGGGTAACCGTCGCGCCGTGAGGCGACGGGCGGCGGCCGAGCCTGAGGGCGCGCAGCGCGGTGCGAGGCGGGGACCCGCGGCCTGGCGGCTGCGCCACGACCAGAACGGTGCCCCCGGGCGAGAATAATAATAAAAAATTAAAATAATTTTCTTCTCCTGGCGATGCGGGGAGGGCAGGCGGGCGTTGAGCTGCCGCAGGGCGGTGAGGAGTGAGGTGCCTGATGAAAGCAGTCGTAAAGCTTTCTTTTTTATTATGTTTTTAATTAGCGCAAAGGAGGAGAGCGGATGGTTGGTTATCCTGCAGGTTGTTCTACCCCCCCAGCTCACCCAGGCGCAGCCCCGCCTGGCCCCGTGCAAGGGCATTGCCCCCATTCCCAGCTGCGCGGGTGTCAGAACCAGTGTCTGGAAAATTCAGAGGTGCCTCAGCAGGGCTGCTGGGTCCCTGCCCTCCACCTTTGGGCAGGTTTCACCCGCCATCCCCCTTCATCTCTCCTCCTTCAGTGTGTTTTCCCTTGGGAAAGGGGCAGCGGCATCTTGGTGGGTGACACTGAAGCCACGAGGGTGGAGCAGAGAGGGAAGGTGGAGGCATCGTGTGTGTCTGGGGCTGTGCAGGGAGCCCCCCTGCTTGTGGTTTATCTGTCTGTGGGGGTGCCTGGTCGCTGTGGACATGGCAGCGAGGAGAGCGCAGCTCCCCTCCTGACATGGAGCAGCTCGTAGCTGCGCAGAGGCGCCGTTTCCTGCACGGCGTCTGGGGTGGGACGGAAGGGAGCAAGGAGGGGCCCTTGCCACCATGGGCAGCAGCGCTCGAGTTCGCCGTGTTCCACTGTGCAAAGCAGAGACTGGTGGTAAATAGAGGCACAGAAGCCGAGGCGGCTCTTGGGGTGGAATTGTCCATTTTGATCTGCATTGCAGGTGCGTAAGAAACATCCAGGGTGCTTATTGGCTTTGCCTAGATGGTGAGATGCCCACACTTCTTGCTCTTCTTCCTTTTATTTTTATTGATGCTTTTGCCATAGCAACTGTTCCCCTTAATTTAAAAAAAAAAAAATAGTAGTCATTAACACAGTGCCTTTTCCTATATAACTTCCTAGTCAACAAATGTAGTTTTGTAGAGCTGTACTGTGCCTGACCCTCTGAGAGAGGCTAGGCAGAATATGCAGAATTTATGCACCGCAGTGGTCTCTTGCTTTTTGATTTGACCCTTGAAAGCAAGTGCTATATAAATGGCCATTCAAATGCTGTAATAATGCTGATTATTTGTTTTCTTAGATTTGTTTTCAAGACTTTGGTTATGCTGACAGGCTGGCAAGCATTGTCAATGGAACGACAGAGATGGGGAGATGATAACAAAGTATTAACTACTTAAGTAGAAAATAAGAATATTGGCTGAACTGATGCATAACTGATTTTTTTCATCTGATCATCACCATGTTTCTGCTACTTTCCCCAGCCTTTTGGGAAAGAGAAAGCTTAAACTCTCATGACAAACTCAACTGTTGTATGTAGTTCTGAGTCCAGCAATTGATGTGAACCTTAGTACAGTAATCATTTATTTGTTTTCTTTGTTTCAGATTTTAGATATAATTACAGCCTTATAAGAATAGGCTTTCAAATGATGTTTAACAATTTATCATTAGAATTACAGAAATCAGATTCTTCTATGTGCCCTAATTCAAGAAGTTCTAAGGGCAATTCATTCTCTTTTATCGTGTTTAACAGTTGTTGGCAAAGTCCTCCAAGTTCTTATACTAGAATGTAAAATAAAATTTGTAGCTACATTCTCTCTGCTATAGTGTATAAAATATTCCAGAAATAAGCTGGTATTTTTTTCATTTTTCAAGTTTACTTTTGGTAGCTTATTAGACTCTTGTTTCTACATTTCTCTCAATAGTTTCATGAGTTATAGAAAATTGTATTTTAAATAGTTACAATTATTTAAAATTAAATTTAAATTTATTTTAAATGTTGATGCTTTAGAAGAAATAGGTGTGTTCTGAGAGGGCAGGGCCCTAGCTTTTCCTTTTCTGCTACTCCTGAAACTAAAAAGGTTTAAAAATCAAAGCCACAGACAAAGCAAGGACTTTAGAAGCATTCTGGTGTCAGAAAAAGATGTATAGGCATGCAACCTTTTCCACGTCCTCTTACTGCATTCCACAGGAAAATATTGGGCATGCTTAGAGCTGCTGTGAAATGTAGAAAAGCACAGACAAAAACTTGCTGCCTTGTTGTAGGTCCCTCGTTCCTGTTATGGATAGGAATATATTGCAAATAAGCTAATACCGTGTGGCAATAATCGGTGTTGCCAGAGCCGGCCTCTGGTGGTGCTTGTGGCTCCTGGAAACAGCCGAGCTGCCAGGACCGGGGTGGAGCCGAGCAGGGAGGTCGCCCTTTGTTCAGCTGAGATCTCATCGAGTTGCTGTGGTTCCTCCGCATCCGCAGCACCTCAGAACAGAGTCTCCTCCTTCCTTGTGCTTCCACCTCATACCATGTCCAAAGAAGCAAAAGATGATAAATAGTGAATCCAGAACAGTTTAGTTGAAAGCTCAGATCGTTGCTTGCTGTGTCTCCTCCCCGATTCCTGCACTTGGTGTGACCTGGCATTCCTTAGACACCTGGTCGTGCACGTGGGCTGATGGCAGGCGCTTCTGTGTTGGGTTTGAAGTGATATCAAAATAGTCTTTTCTCTGCAAGAGGCTTTCCGGGCATGTTGGTCAGAATCATATGGCTCAGTGATTAATTTTATCTAAGAGCATTGTACTATTCTCTACCAGCTCATTATTTCTGGTTATGTTAACGAGCACTATGCTAGAAATAGAACTAATACATTTATTTGCTGCTAAAAGAAAGAGGTGTAACAAAATACTGCTGAAAACCTTTCCTGTTTTGAGGAGCCTGTTTTCTAGAACACAGCAAGTTCTAGAAGACTTTTATGGGTTGTACTTAAAACACTAAAATATCTTTCTGCTTGTCAGTCTTAATTACAGGTCTAAGACCCAAGATTCAAGGTCAGTTATTAAAAACATCGCTTGACGTAAGCTAAAAAACTTACGTCTTCTTTGGGTAATCATTACCACTGTATCTTCTTCAGCAGGATCTCTCAAAACCTTTATTTTGAGCAAAGCACAGGTATAAATTTCTCTGTGTTTGACTGCAGTCACTGTCCTGGAATAATGGTATAATAGGTGGTTTATGGAACCATATCAGAAAACTTAAAGGAACGTGCGTATTCCTCGACATGTTAAACGAGACTGGAAAGTCGTTTCACTCTTTGGTAGATTTGCTGTTAAAATATCTGTTCTTTGTGAGTGGATTTTTTTCCTAGAAGGACCGACTTGTTTAGCCTGCTGTAAGTCTGCAGCCTGTTCCCCTTGACGTGTTTCACAAATATTCTGCATAAACTCTGCAAATCATGTTTTCAGTGCAGTTCTTGCAGCAGGAGCTAGAGCTTGGCTGAGTGCCCGGAGCCGGTGCCGCTGCCATGGAAGCGGTTCTGCCTCTGCCGCCCCCACCGCCCTGGTTACTGATTTTCCAGCTCCCCCTTCAGCCTGTGCTAAAGCATTTCAAAAGTGTTTGCTCTGCTGCACAGTAAACCTGAGAAATAACCGGTGGGAAAAATGGGTTAGTTTTCAGCTGGACCGGCTTTTTGACCTGGTTCACTGTATGATCACTAGACCGGCAAAGAAAGGTGATTTGAAGCATTTGACAAACCTGGTGCTAAGCTCTTGCAGAGGATGACCAACGGAGTCACTTATGTTAAAACTGTCGTGGTAGCTTCTCAGTTTGTGCGTCATTAAGTATTCAGAATCGGGACATTTTTTATGACACAAATACAATTGTATGAATTCCTCCTGTGATTCATACATTACTGCTAAAACTGTCTTAAAGCTAGCATGAAATGGTAGTCATGAGGGAATTGGTGATACCTGATAAAAATAATGGCTTTCCATAATACTGTATCATTTCTAAACTTGCAGTAATACTATATCCTTGTAGAATAAAACCTTTGGCTGCTGCCTTAATGGATTAATTCCTGATTCAGGAATTAATTCCTGATTCAGCTTTAACTAAAGCTGGAGAACTTTCTTAATGACTTTAAAGAAAGGCTCATTCTAGTGTGTAACACTGAGCCTGTTAGTCCAGGGATGGAACTGAGTATTTATTTTCCTTTTTTTTTTCTGGCAGTAGAAATTGTCCTTAGTAGAAGGAATTGCATGAGTTCCTGCAGTACTACAGGTGACTGTGATTAGGTACAAGGTAATAGTTCTTTTGTTCTCTGTCTTCTTTAAAACTCTAATGGAAGCTGTGTTAAAGCAAACTAGTTTATCCTCAAAATGGAGTGAAATGGAAGCTCCTGATGAGCAGCTTTTCTACAGGAAAGCAGAAGAAAGCCTACACGTTCCTTTGAAATGCAGCATAGCCTTTATTATAAGGGGTTGGAGGGTTATTGTAATAAACATTGAAGAAAATGTGTGGACTTCATTGCTAAGAGTGTTTTTTTTAAGGTAGTCAGTGTTATTTAGATGACAGCGCTCTCTTCTGCTTGAAGTGGATTATGCCAAAATTAAGCCATTTTCAGTGACTTTCTGCCAAAGCAAGGCTTTTCTCCCTGACAGCTGTGCAGCCTTATCATTGCCATAGCCTGGTATGCTTACAGTAATTATAATGACACTGCAGAACCCCTTGCTTTTGATTTGGTTCTCCGATAATCTGTGACATGCTAGTGACCACAGCCATTTCAGACATGCCTCTGGTGTCTCTGGTACTCTTAGTCTGCTTTCCCAGTGACAGCTCATCTGGTCTCAGGGACAGAGAAAACTCAACCTGAATTATTCCTGTCAATCCTTATGACTTAGGCTTGATAGTCATGCTTGCAAGATGTCAGAGATTTCTGCCCAGAGTACCAGCTTGTTCGTTTAAGGCATCTGCAGGTATTAAA